GTTCCCCAACCATACAGAACCAACCCACGTAGCACCACCATAGTCATTCCCTACAATCATACCAGCTTTATGGGCTTTATTTCAAATGTTCTCACGTTGCACAGAACGCATTCATTTTGCAGCCCAGTTTTACAGTACGCTTCATAAATGTTTAATATGTTAAAATGAGTTCTGGAAAATATTAATTGCCGGGAACGATGTGTTTGACTCCAGGGAATTATCTGGTTTCAAATTCCAACTCAGATAGATTCAAGATTTATTCAGGCATCATACTAAACAAAAACCAGACAGACCTGATTTTGGCCAAGTCTAATGTGTGGTCTCAGCCGCTTTGCTTTGTAAATCTTCATTTATAACTTAAGAATACATTTAAGTCTTAGCTATTGTTGTTTATTCTACAAGCACAGTTGTTAATATTGTGGTTTAATGCAGTGTGTGAAACTAGAGGAGACAGGGCAGACATATATGTGGGCGTTTATGTGGACAATGTGTTTGCTCTATTCAATCTCTAGCACAATGTATGTACATTTTCCCCATTAAACTAAGCCTATGTATGGATGAATCCGGCAGTGTCACATCCCCACTTTGCTTTCCACAAGGTGCTTTTTTCTTTGAAGCACTTTTCTCCCTCTTGCTGAAATACTTTCCAAATGTTCATGTGGAAAGACAGCTAATGTGGTACAGTGGCCAAAGTACTGCACTAAAACAATGGAGACCAGGGTCACCTTCAGCCATGCAAACCAGCTGGATGACCAAGGGCCAGCCCGCTCTCAGTAAAACAGCCCAAGACTTGTTGGTCGAAACAGCTGGAGAGGTACTGGGTATGCCCCTTTGAGCGGATGGAGGACAGGCAGGATATGAACCTAAAAATACATGTTTAAAATATCAGCTGTGTTTGCATAAGAGCTTAAACTAGAATTTGGTTTGCCTATTTGTTCGGGCTATCAGACCTTGGGTGCAAAAATCTGGATGACCGCTCGATGACACGAGGTTGAGATTTGTGTAGCTGTCTGCTGTTATCTGGTAGTGTTAGGTTTGCAGCAGAGACCTAGTGAGTCCCTCTTTGTGGTCTACGGTTATATGAATCCAGCTACTGTGGTTTATAAATTATGGGTTCTGGATCACAGCCTCGGGGTATTATCACTAGAATGTGTTGCATTTCAGATCGGAAGCCAAAAGATGGCCTCGGAGTGGGCGTGGATGTGAATGCCACGCCTGTCAGGGCTTCCTTAAGAGCACTTCCCTGTACTGAAATTCTCTATCCAAACAGCTGTCTTCTTAGGGTGAGAACAATGCCCCAATTGAAAAACAGTTTAGCATTCCAGGTAGCAATTCCATAAACAAATCTTCCACTTCTTCTTTGTTTATACTGGCAGTCATTTATCAGCTTTCATCAGCATGTATATCTAGGAAGCAAATAAACTTTGCTACGGCACATCCAAAACAGGGGGAAAAAAGGTAATACCTTAACAATTGCAACCTTTGCAGCCAGCTTTACCCTTCACTTGAAGACTATGTAAGTAAATATACATGCATACATACATACTATATATATATATA